AAAAATTGTTTGATAAAGCTTTGAGTTTTAATATTTAATATTAGAAATAAAACAGGCAACATTAAATAACTGTAAAGTGTGTGTAAAGTATCTATGAATGTATCCATAAGTTCAGTGGCACTGTGAAAGTTTCTGGCTCAGTTATTCAGACGCATCTCTGGGGGACTATAAAATATCTTTTCAGATTCACATTTTCAGCCAGAAAACCAGCGGAGTGTGAAAGTTGTTTTACCTGAAATAGGAAAGCAATGTTTGCAAAATCTTGACATTGGCTCATCAGAGATTGTATTTCTTGGAAACCTTTAAATCATTTGGATTTTCAAAGGAAGCTGAGGTCCAGCTTCAGTTTTGGTGCGCGTCGAAAGTGTGTAAACCTTCTCTATCACAGTTTGGTTTAGACAACTGCTAAAAGGAATGCATTAGAAAACATAATTAAGACTGTATCTATTATTTTCTAATTCTGTTCACTTCACACATCTCTTAAATTAAAAAGTTAAGCTTGACCAGAAATGTTTTTATTCTGACATAGTCTCCCATATTTGAGGAAATGCTGTTTCGAAGGAGAAAGCGACAACTTTCATTTCATCTAAGTGGCTTAAAAAACATACATTTGGAGAGACTGTTTGATTCTTTAACGTACTTTGTTTTTATCATATTGTTTTGTTTGTAATTATTGGTGGTATTTCTCACATCTTGTACTGTAAACCATTGACACTTTCAGGTATATTTTGTTTTTTATTTTACATGTTATATTTATGGTATATTGTATTTCAGCATGTTATATTTAGATATGTTATTTGTCTGCTGTGTTAAATGTTGAATGTCCAGCACTCCGAGCTACCATTTAGCTAGACAATCTTTTTATTGTGTTGACATGAGTTCAAATGTTGTATGAAAATATTGGATATATTTTATTAAGATTTTATTTACTTTTATGGTACACTAATTTTAATTTGTATTTTCTGCGCATTTATTTTGTAATTTAATGTGTATTTTTTTTTATCACAAACAATATTAGTTTTTTTCATAAAACCCATATAGTGACTAGCATTGCCAATTAGGTAAGGTTTTAAATTAAATGAAACATAAAAACCAATAGAAAATAAATAATAATCCCCACAGACTAAAGGGCAAAGCTCCAGATCCCCTACTTTACGATCAAAGAAACCACTGGAGAAGAGGTCAAAGGTCAAAGCCTGGATAATACTCCTGTGTGACTTAACCTTTGCATTTTGTTCCCACACAAGAATCTAAGAACTGATGAGGGTTTTTTTTAGTCAGTTATCTCTGTTGGTCAGTGAGGCAGTTGACGACAGATGTCTTGCGGATTTGGGGGGGTGGGGGGGGACTACTTCAGAAGGGTAAATCAGCCAGGACAGGAGTTTTAAATGTCATGACATCTGGGGCTGCTCCACACTGCTCACCATCTGTTAATGGTTCCACAGGTAGACATAAATTATTCTAATCAGCTAAGTATTTGGGAAAAACGGAGTTTCCTTCTGTAATTCTGTAAGCTTTCCACAAAAAAAGTTAATGAAACATGTTCCCTGAGGTACCCTTGCAATTAAAATACATAAAAATCCTCCTGTTTTTTAAAGTAAATATACTAGAACTTAAGACACAGTAATGTTTGTGACAAGGATTTTAATGACAAGATGCCACAGTCAGCTTCATGATATCCATCATATTATGGCAGGCATCCCACTCTACAAACTGTTGATATTTCATTTCTCACATGCAAGATTTCAGACACACACAATAGGGTGGATCTGAGTTGGACACCATTTTAAAAATAGAGCAACAACTGAAGGGGTTTCATCTCTCAAGTAATGTGATATAACCTTTATATGCCATTCGTTTCATGCCATAACGCACAACTAGACACTTCAAGACAATACTATCAGTGCAGACATGTAACAACAGGCAGTTTCCTGGAGGTACAATATGTCTCATTATCTTTTCTGTCACAGCGGGTTTGGAATCACGAAAGGGAGAAGAAACGGATAAAAGTCGTAATGGCGAGGAGTGGAACTCACAGAAAAGAAAATTATATAAAACAGAACTGATAACTGGAGTGATTCATTTGTTGCTGCGGTTTTGACATTAAGGGAAAATCAAATATGTTTGCCACACTCCACGGAGCATCTATATCTTCATATTTACAATGCATTTACCATTCAATAGTCTGGGCCATTGTGTCAATAAGAAGTCACACTTGTGACCCATCAGCCATTTGCCTGTCTTAGTGTTTCCCATGACTGGAGCATGTATGGAGCCAGTCTGTGTGATGGTGAAGCACATCAGAAGAAGTGGACTGACTAGTAAATTACACTCTGCAAAAGGTAATCTCGGATAATTTCACTGATGACTGTAATTGCTGGCCACGGCAGTGAGGTCATTGAAAATGAAAAGGCCTATTAGTGGACAGGCTAATGACACTGGTCTTTTTAGAACAGGTGGGCCAGTCCACCATTCTTGTGTGTGGCTCATTAATAAGACATTTACCAGAACAAACGTTACATAAAAAAAACACTACAGGAGGCACACAAATTACTAGTATATATATATAGTATATATATAGACTTTCCATTGTCACCAAATCCCATGAAAATACTAAACCCAGCAATGTGTTAGTCCTCTGTATATTTTTTCTGCCCTGCCCTGTCTGTAGTACCTCATGCCCTTTAAGTACGGATCACACACACGCACACAGACAGACACACACACACACACACACACACACAAAATCAGCAGGGTCTTGTATCAGTAACACAAATAAATAAGCTATCATTCTAAAATTATTACAAAACCTACTGCATGTAAAAGGTACTTGGTATTTGTCACATACACACACATGTAGCAAGATTCATCCTCTGCATTTAACCCATCCCTGTGCAGCGCCCGGGGACCAACTCCAGATCTATATCAGTGTTTTGGTCAATGGAACTGACTTAAGAACCTAAAATGTTTTTGATGGTGGGGGAAACACAGACATGGGGAGAACATGCAAACTCCACAAAGAAAGGCTGGGACGACGGGGGTTTGAACCCAGAACTTTCTTGTTGTGAAGCCACAGTGCTATCCACTGGTTCACCGTGCCACCCAATTATGTAATAACCAGGTTAATACAGTGCATGAAAATGCGTTGTCTAGTTTCCTGCGTAAACCTTTTTATTCAGAGTAACCTGATTTCTTTGAAAACGTTCTGATACACTACCATTGTAACTTAAATATGGTACTCAGGCATTACCGCTTTGGGGACTTTCATTTCCAAGATCACAGTAAAGGACTGAATTTTGACTGAAGTTTCTATAGCAGAAAGAGTAAGAAGCAGTGCTAAGTGTTTCACATCTGCTGATCTGGAAATTGAATCTTAAGTTGTATTTTTTTTAACATTTAGCAGCAGCTACTTTTAAACATCTGTTTTTGTTCATATGGTGTGTTAATAATGCCTGGATGGTGCTGCCTTCTGATTCTGAAAAAGCCTTCTGATTTTCATTTTCACCTCAAGGCCTCAGGAGGATGAGAATATAGACGAAAAGCACATTTCTGAGGAAGACTTCAATCAACCATCAAGTTGCTGATTGAAATTGTGCTGTTTACCCAGACTTCCTCATAACAAACATCAGGTTTACAGCAGTCACTAACAAAAAATGACACATTGTGTTTAAGACACTGTTCAACGACCATTATTGTTAATTATGCCATTTCTACAATATGTTCGTATCATTAATTATTATGCATTTAATTATATATTTACACTAACTACTTTATAACACTGATGTTTTACAGCTAAACCCTTAATTATATACATATATATATATATGTAACTCATATGTTCTAAGAAGATTTTAAGAATTATGTGGCATTGTTTTCTAAACTGAAAAATGTTTCAAGGTTCAATCAAGGTTCAAATCAGCAAATGGAGATCAACATATGAGCTCTGAAAAAATCACATCATATCATTAATAAAGCACATATTGTTTGATTTATTATAATACTGACTTTCTGTAAAACTTTTGGCTGTGGTTTTACAGAGGTTACAGGTCATAAAGGCTCTTTAACATTTGATCATCCTTTTAAAACAGTATAGACATTATTGTGGAATTATAAGTACACTTTTAAGACAATATTAAAGATAAAATGTTATACATGTTATATTGTGCTATGAATGTTATGAATGTTCATGACACAGGTTTCATAAGAAGTGTAGAAATGTATTTCAATGCAGCAGCTTCGACTTCTGTCCAGAACTTTAAGGTCAGCAATCTGCTATTGATACTAGAATAAAACTTGATGTTACTGCTAAAACTCTTCTCCCTCTTTTAAATTGACTGTGATCGTATAGTCGACAGATGGAGCCCTGACAGCGTTGGTGATTTGCTTTAAACTCAATCAGGAAAAATACGGTTGTGTTTTCTGACATTAATACTACCCATGTTGTAGGAAGATAAATACAGACGCGAAGAAATTAATTTACTTAAACTGACATTTACAGCAGAAGTTTATGTAAGTGGCTACGGTGCTCAGTTACAATTTACAACCTGATCAACCTTGTTCCAGCCTTTTCTCATTGTGATTGAGCATAAACGCGTCGAAACACTCAAAGTCACATCACGGAATCAATCCAAACATTGGAGACATTGATCAAAAGTGCTTAATTTCAGTTTATCAGTGACTAATTTGTTTTTTAGTCATTGGGCCCAGATATATATTTTAAATGTATAATGTACATTGTACCCACTGCACTTTACAGGCCACAGCTAGGGAAATCCTTTCAAATCAGCTGGCACAGAGGGAAAAACTGTTGAGGAATTTTTAACATGCTCACAGAGGATGATTTCCACTAAATTCAGCTTTTTTTCTCTGACATACAGGATTAAGGCATGCGAACCATAAAGGAAGTATGTTGTGTCTCGACGTGCATTTGCATTGCTCAATCGATTTCCTGGAAGTGTTCGGACATGACAAGATAGGATAGAAAACTGTATTCCTCTTACCTGTTGTTCCTGGGCCAGCTGTCTGTCACGCTCTCTCTTTCTTGCTTTCTCTTGGTTCTATAGAGTGCCGCTCTCTTTCCCCCTCTTTTTCTTTTCTCGACACTCGTCTTTTATTTCTCTGCCTCTTTGGTCCACAAGTCACCACAATCCTTTCCTCTCCTCCCTCCCTTTTTCCACACTTCACCTCTGATTTTGTCGGGGTTTTCTCAAAGTATCTTCTTTTTTGCCTTTTTTCACTTCTTCTCTCTCGCTGTCTGTTTCCCTTGTCTTTGTTTCTCTCTCTCTGTATAAGTTTTTCTCTTTCTCCAAACCTCCTTTTATCCCCCTCTCCTCTGTTTCTTCTTTTATCCCTCCTTAAGTAGCAGTACCTTGCCCTGCTGTAGATAATGAAGACATACTGAGAGATTTGTACTGGAGGCGGGACTAGCACTGCAGTGGGTTGGGGGATGGGAAAGGTCAAATTATACAGAAGATGGACAGACGAATGTGAACCAGACCCTCCTGTGTTCTTGGCTTTGTAGCTTTTATCAGAGGCCGATAATGGCCTTTTAGGAAAATCCTCCCTTATTTCCCTTTAACTAGATCTGTCTGTGACAATCAGTTATTTATTGATTGTATAATGTATTGTCCTTTTCCCTAAATTTTATTTCTAGTTCAGTTTGTGATTTCCTACGTTTCCCAGAATGCCACTCTGGACATGCAACATGAGCTGTGTTCCAAACAACACTCTAGCTTAAGTCTAAGCAGGTGTTTAGTGTATTCACACTGGAAAAGTGACAAAAATTGGGATCCTTAAACAAGAGTCTACAGCCATACTAGCGGCTCTGTGAGGCTGTAGTTAAACACAGGTGTGCTTTGAGCTAAATGCTAACGCTAGCATGGCAACATACTCACAATTACAATGTTAACATGCTAATGATTAGTAGGTATAATATCACTTAAAGCCAAAAATGGAAATTTGTTGGTGGCACCAGAGAAAATCCGTCTGATAATTGTTAAGGTATTTCTGTCTGGAACAAAGTGGTGGACTGTCAGACCAACAGACAATAAATGTTGAGCTGTAGATGAATTTAAATGCTTTTCTTTTTCCAGCAATCATAGTGTTCTTACCTGCTGCCAGAAGACACATCAGTCTGCCATAAACAGAAAGATGGTAGGTAAGAATGCCTCTGAATGTTTTCAGATCAGCTAGACAATAACTAAATAAATAATCAAATGGCAAAACCACACACAAATAAAATTTTTAAATAAAATATCAAAATGAATGACCTCTATATATAGTTATACTGTAGCACTTGAAAATGCACTGATGAAAAAAAATTGGTAAATGTCTTACAACTATAACAGGGCTCCAACTGAAAATGGACAAACCCACAATGTGATTATGTTAACAGATTTGTGTCCCAAGAACATCAATAATACCAGCACACACACACACACTTCAAATCAGGTCTGGCTGAGCTCTTCTCCAAACATTCAAATAAAAAGGTTTAAGGGTCACTTGCAGCACGGTTGGATCACTGATTAAAATCAGCCTGGTCTCCTGTTCATGTTTCAGGTCCCTTGGGAACCACAAGGTGCACTGACTGAACAAAAAATTTCCTTGTCTTTAAAAAGATATTTTAAACATAATGAAGTGTTTCGAAAAATCATCAATACTTAAGATGCTTGGCGATTTGGAAGGGGTTACGTTGCTTAAATAGTACTGTCAACACCAATCACAAATATAGATCATATGAAAATGCAGTTTATTTTAACCCTTTTTTACAGTTGGAGTGTCTGAAACCCCAAACATTTTCCTTAGCTGACTTCTGAACCACATTATCAGTTTAACATCATGTTTAAAAAGCAATTCTCAAAAAATTGGAAAAGAGTGTTCTTGAGTGGTTAAAGAGTGCCTGGGATCTATGGGAGCCTTAACAGAGCATTAGGGTGAAAGATTATTTGGAATATAAAAGCTTATGCAGCATTTTAAAATCTACCCTCACTCTAACCCACATCAACTCTGCTTATGTCTGCTGAGTCTCCTGATCTCTCTCTAGGTCATGCAATAAAGGTGAATAAACCCACCCTGTGCATGCATGTTGAATCAATGTGCCTTGAAATTTTTGGCAGGCTTTCATTTCCTCTCTCGTGAATAATCACATTTTGGAATGAAACCCTTCAATTGTCAAAAGTTTTTTTTCATAATTGTTTATATTTAATTTGTTGTCAAATCAAACTCGGCAGGGCAGTTTAGAGCTTGATCTAACAAGAAATGAAATATAAACAATGTGGAAAGTGGGATGTCTACTTTGATTTTCATGAAAGGAAAACTAACTTTGTTATTTAAGTTAGTTGCATTAGAGTGTTAAATGAGAGTGTTAGATGTTAAACTACTGTTGGACTGATTTAATTTAGTAGCCAGAAGTGTGTCATCTTTTAAAGTTACCTCATTGACTGGCGGAGATAACCTCCTCAGTTCTCAGGTTCCTGGGTCTGATGTCAAGTCAGTTGGGTCAAACAGGAGAATTATGGAGGCTTGAACTTTGACCTCTTCTGTGGTTTCTTGGCTCGTAAAGTAGGGGATGTAGGAGGTGAACTTTATTCTAAAGTTGGGTTGTCCACGGATTGTGGGGACTAGTATAATATAATTGACATTCACAGCGGAATGTCTTGACAGACAAGTTGATGAAATTCAAATTCATCCTTTGTGTACCACACATATCTGCACAAAATGTCCAATAGAACACAAAAATGTTTCATTGACTGGTATTTATTCATATTTAACCCTATGACTATGCATATGCCCCAACAAGTAGTCCATTAAGGTCCATTAATACAGCTTTGAGTATTCCTGAGTGTCTTTGTCATCATTTGAATTGATTATGCTGCAGGAATTTCACCATTGGAGTATACTGTAACTGAAATACTGTTGCAGGAAGAAACTATAAACTTTTACAGCCATCATTCAAGCCTACATGGCTGAGTGGTTGATATTTAACGTGTGTATTTTGGTTGTTTAGTGTGGGACTGAACAGCTGGGCGATCATAAAGTCATCTATTGATCTATATCTTTTTTCCACTCTGAGCTTCACTTTGGAACCTTTCGTATGCACCTGACATTACTGATATATTGAGATTATTGCCGTATGTGATTTTTGCCTTTTATGATTTACATTAAATCAGCGTGTAAAGTATATTTTATATCAGCCCACATTTCAAATCCACTCTAACAAAATGGATCCTTGTAGTGCTTTTTAGCAGCAGAGCAGTTGTGATGAGCCAGTAGGGAATTTTTTATTTTTTATTTTTAATACCGGTATGTGTCAAGGTTGATAAAGCACATCACAAATTACTTGCATTACGTGCATGTACGTTTCTCAAAGACATTCTCCAAAAGAATAGCGATTTATGCTTGCTTGGAGCCCCTGACAGGAATATTATTTAACTTTTAACTTATTTACGACCATCACAGCTGCTTGGCTTGATGTTAGTGCACTTATTCACTGGCCTATTGAACTGAAACCAGCATCTTCTCAGCCACTTCAAACACAGATGAGCAAACTGGCAGCAATAGATGCTGAGAGTGAGAGTCAGAAGAGCCAGGGCTGAGAGTTGCAGCAGGCAGCAGCCAAACACTCCTTCCCAAGCCAAGCAACAGTGTTGACGTTTTAATTGCTGTTTATGACTTAATTTTTTAGTTTTGCAGCACAACAGAGAAATTAAACAACAGATGGTTTTGCCCAAGCTTGTCTAGTTGGTCAGATATGTTGTTCATGCCATGCCAAAGCTCCCCATAAAATATATAACCCTTTTGCTTTATTGGTTGTAGTTGACAGTGTAACTTTTCTTTATGGTTGTCTGCATAACTGGAGACCATACAGTTAAACCTTATAGTCAGACTCAGACTCCATTAAAAACCATACAACACAAACAAGGTACAATATATAGGTAGATTAAAATAAATAAATGCTGGACTGAAGCCAAAGATTATATGAACATCTACAATGGCACATGAATATAGACACCCTTTAATATATAAATGCAATTAGAACACAACTCAAAGTTAGTATATCATAGTTATATACCTCTAGGATTTTGTCTGTCAATCATAATCCAACTGGGTGCTGACCATATAAATATATATATACAAACCATACAGATGGAGATCATTACAAACATCATTACTGACTGACTGTTGCAGTTTTACAGATTTATATCGGAGCAAAGCCTCAAAAGCTTAAATTATTCTTGAGAAGTAATGAATGTCAATCGCATTCAAATATGTAAGAAAACAAGTCTACAGCCATGCTAGTGGCTCTGTGAAGCTGTACTTAGGCACAGCGGTGCTTTGAGCTAAATGCTAACCTCAGTAGGCTCACATGCTGATATTTAGGAAGTTTCATTTTTATCATCTTAGATGTAATCACACTAACATTTGCTAATTCACAAAGCCAATGCTGATGATTAGTTCTGCATTAGATGAAAAGTAAATGAGTTACAAATTAATTCTGATGGGAATATGTATGCATGTCAATCCATCCAACAGTTGTCAAGACCTTTCACTAAAATGAAAGGGGCAATATGACGATTACATGGTGCGGTAGATGAAAAGCCAGAGGATGGTCAAAGTCAGCAGGATTTATCTTCAGTAGACCATAATTGCAAGCCGTTCAGTAGTTGAGATATTTTAGTCTGGATCAAAGTAGTGGCCCGACCGACTGATTGACCGACATTGCCGCTAGCATGACTTAACACAGTTAAATATGGAAAAGATGTTAGAAAAGACTTATTTGTGTCTTTGTCATTAAGGGAATTACATTAGCTAAAATGAGAAGTTTTGTAATATCATAGAGAAAATTGTGTTTCTTGTTGCATTGGTGTCAAGTTTACTCATTCCAGAGGAATAACTTAATTACAGTTTCGAACTTAGAGTGAGGCTCTTACCCTCAACATAATTGCGACCCTGCACCTATTTTCTACAAATGAAAACATGTGTCTCATGAGGCCAAAACACACATACACACACACACACACACATATAAGATCATGAAACAAATTCCATGTAAGCAGAATTTTGAGAATTTGGAAACTCATGATGGAACATTTGATCTGTTCTGCTAAATAATTGTCTCTGTCTCTGGTGGTCAAGACCAATTCATGAACAAATCAATCAACAAGAACAAATGAAATCACAACAAAAAAATGTAATTAAAAACAAGGACACACATGCAATGGCGCCACCGGGGGGGGGGAAGAAAATGTGATGTATAAATATGACATGTCAAATCGGTTGTTAAAAAGTGGGATATTGCAAGAATAACTATCCTAGTTGTTTGTAACAAGAATAACACCAAACTTAGTATGTCAACAAATAATTACATAACAAAACGTATATTTCAATTTGAAT